ACAGACATATTTTCAGTTATTTCAGTTTATGGATATTTTGAGGTTATTTTATGCAGAAATAAAGTTTTTAGTTTATTCACACACTGATTTTGGTATGGTTTGATCTCACTAAGGTTTAAGGTGGACCAGTTAGAAATAGGCATGTTAAGATCACATTACATGAAATTTTCATGCTACACATTCACATCATGATCCATGTCATTCAGTTGTATTGGCATGCGTAACCATTGATGGGTCGAGTTACGACAGTTGTAACGAAGGCCGCTTTGATCCTATGTTGGTATGATTGATGGACCGGATTGGTTACAGATACATTTCGGTAATGACGGTAAAGTTAAGCTCATACGGTTATTTTGCAAAACATAATTATAAGGTTACAGATAAAGCCCAAGTGGGAGATTGTTGGATCATTAATCCAACGTTGGGCTTATATGTGAATAATTATGTGTTGTGGACTATCATATAAGGTTAAATCCAATTAAAAGTGATCTACTAAGGTTTGGGTATTTTGGGTTTTAATGTATCTAATAGGGTGTGAGCCTTTAATGTGTAGAGACTTAAGAGTAATTTCTATTTTTATGATGGGTTAAAATAGAAATAGCAAAAGATAACAGGGAAGTTATCAATAAATGGTAGTTATGGTCCCCAGATCACACGTAACATTTTCATTCCTTCTGACATCCCATCATCAGAAAGAGTACAGAGAGAAAGTTAAAGGGTTCTCTAGGAAAACGTGTTGATCTGGAAGACAAGCTGCACGACTCTAGAGAGAAATCAAGCAATATGGATTCAAGTACGCTTCTGCTTACAGATTTATTAATTCTCGATGATCTAACATGAATGTTATTGGCTTTTGGGTGATTGTTTTCACCAAATTTTTTATTTCTAACAGTGCCGGCATTAGTGATGATAACCTCACCGTTGGTAGTGAAGATCATCTTGTTCATACCATTGAAGCTTCGAAACGATGCGGGCGGTGGCGATGTTGATGTGGCTTGGGGAAACGCCGGCTAGTGCCATGACGCCATGGATGAGGAGGGCAAAAAAACCCCAGAAATTTTACAGAGATGTGAAAAAAGCGGATAATAAGAACGAGAATTGAAAAAGGAAGAGAGAAGGTGTAGGTTTTCAGAAATGCTCATCTTCTCCCTATCGTTTGATTGAAATCGGACGAATCTTATTACTCATCCTACCAGTAGGGCCAAGTACTGCTCCCCACCATAGACTTCCCCAATGTTTAAAATATTTTTTAGAATCCATTTGAGAATATTCTTGTAACACCCTGAGGAATTAATTGAGATTAATTAAGGTAATTGAGATTATTAGTGTGCCTAATTTGATTTAATTAATTGAGTTTTGATTAATAAATGTTTCTGACGTGTAATTTAAATAGTTCCAAGGTATTTAAATTATGCTCAGTAATTTTTATTTTAACCCAGAAGTGTTTATGAGCGCATTTCTGTACTGTTTCCTTTAAATGTTAGTACCTGTCTATTTTTTTTTCTTTTTCTTTTTCTTTAACTTTCTTTTTCTTTTCCTTCCTTCCCGTGCACCTCTCTCTCTCACTCTCTCATTTTCTCTCTCTCTCTCTCACACACACACACACACACACACACTCTCTCTCTCTCTCTCCCGTTTTTGCTTCAAATCAACTGGATTTCAAACCAAAGGAAAGTTTCAAGAAGTTTCAACATCAAGAGAAGGATTCAATGTAAGATTTCTTGAAAACCTCTCTTGAAATCCTAAGTTTTCATATTTAAAACTCATTTTTGGTTCGAAATAAATTTTGATGGTTTTAAGTAAAACTAGGGTAGAAATTGGAGATATTGGGTTCTTTGGACTTGTTTTAGGACCTGGAAACCAGATCTAGTGGTTGTCCCTTGAAATATTTCAATTTGGGACTGAGATTGCAGGTTTTGGACTGGTTTTCGCGAGCTTCTCTCGCGCAGCTGATTCCACCGGTCGACCTGTCTAGTCGACTGGATCACATGGTAACCGGTCGACTGTTGCGGTCGACCGGATTGCATTGGCCTGACCGGTCGACCGGAGTGCACACTACCGGTCGACCGGTAGTGTTGCACTGTTCTGTCACCGGTCGACCAATTGACACGGGGTCTGACCCTGTTTGGCCTGAAATTGCTGTTTTGACCTATGTTTTCAGGGAGAACCCAAATTAGTTTTATTTAGGGACTTAAGATGAATGGATTAGCATCTTTAATCGTTATTTTGTGATTGGAAACCCTTGGAATGATAATTTAAAACATGAAAATGGATTATGGCACACTAATTGGAAACCTTGGTATCTAATTGAGATTGGATTGCTTTAGGAATGAGAATTAATCCTAAAGTGTTGTCTTGCATCAGTGATCGCTGAGGATTCAGACTGAAGGGGCTTGAGGAAGCGAAAGCCGGAAAAGGCAACGCTAGTCCCAGGTTTGATAGTGCGAGGTAGGATTTCTATCCATTTTCCTTGTGAGCTTGATTTTTAAAAAAGAACTTTGGCCTTGGAAATGTTTTAAAGAAAGGGGTTGGTTTGTGAAAGAAAAACTCTTTGAAAACCATGGCTTGTTTAGTTTATGGAATCCATGGCTTGTCCTGCCCATGGAATCCATAGCTTGTCCAATCATGGAACCTCATGGCTTGCCCAGTCATGGGGCCCGCGGCTTGAGTAGTTCATGGGGTCATAATAATGAATTCAAAAAGTTAATGAATGATTTCTTAAACTAAGAGATCTTGTGAACTAGTAAGAGAGTCTATTGCTGTAAGCCTAGATAGGATGCGGAGAGTGCATCCTTGGGGGGCAGCACCCGAAACTCGGTCCGGGTAGGCGAGGCACTTGGTTAGGTAAGTAATTTGCACTAATTACTTGCTGAAGCTTATAATATGGAGATTTTACATTTATTTCCTTTGAGAAAAAGGATGTGAGGTTCCGGCTGTCTGTTAGAACTGAATGTCTATTTATTCACTTACACATTTATTTATTTATTTACTCACATATTTATATATTCGTTTACTTTTAAGTCATTTCAAATTATATCCTACTGGGCCTTTCGCTCATGTTTTATGTTTTAAATGTATTAATTCCCTCCCAGGAGATTCTAGGAGCGGTGCACAGTAGCTGGATATTTGCTACGGAGTAGCTGAGTTGTGCTACGGATCGATCAAGTGAGGATTGTGTTCATCCTCTGACATAAAAGTGTAAGGAATCGAGAATTCTGTAAACTCATGTAATATTTGGATTAACTAGACTGTGGTTGATGTCAGCTGTAATTGACTATTTACATATGCATGTATATACGATACGGTATATCCTGTGAGGTGGAGCCATGTGTTGTCAGAGGCTTAGAATTCTGTAATTTATTTATATTTTAATGGAGTTAAGTGAGGCTCGTCTGGGAATCTGTTTTATTAATCCCTAATCGAGCTTAACGTCACCCACCCCGTTTGGGGGGCGTGACAATTCTTGTCTTTTCATCCTACTTTTTTTAATAAGTTTTTCAAATTGGCTTTCTTATACATCTCCTAAAGTTTTTGAATTTAGTAATTTGGTCTTTATTTTTTTCTTAGTGGACGTTTGTTTCCTATATTCATCCCTGATTTTGAATCATGATTCATGATTCTTTACAGTATTTTCTCTCACAAAAAATACACGTAAAACGAGAATGATTCTGAATCATGATTCTAAATACATAAAGCAAACATCCTCTTAGTAATTAACTTCTTTAATTTTTTAATTTTTACAATTAAATCCCAATCGGAAACAACGCTTGGTTTTTTGACAATGCTGATCATGCGACGTATATGTGAGCATCTATAGAAGGTAATAAAAGTCATTTATCATCTTATTTGTTCGATTCAGAGTCATTTAATATGTCCAAATACAATCAATTATGATAAAAAAAAACTCTTAGGTGACTTTTAGTTTATGGGTTCAAAACCATAATGTGTAATTCTAATTTTTAAAATTCAAATTTTTTGTGAGAGAAAAATATTATAGCAGAACCAAGAACTATCATTCTAAACTAGACAGAACTCTTGAAACAAACGTCACCTTAGTTTTTAAGGGTTATTATCATCAACAGACTCAAAATGACATTTATTATCCTCAATAAATGCTACATACATTTAGTGTGATCATAATCGTCAAAAAAGTAAACATCATTTTCAATTGGACCTTAGTTGCAAAAATTTTAAGTTGAATGAGTCAATTGTCAAGAATAAAAGAATAAAACTAAATTACTAAATTTAAAAAGTTAAAAGGATATCCGTACAAAAAAACCTTTCAAATTCAAAGCATACCTTTTGTAGTTTTAAAAACATGAAGGCTTTGTTATTTTCACAACTCAATGTCACAATTTAAGTTATATTGTTACAATGATTTTTCTTATAAAAATTTAAATTTAACTTTTTTATTACAATATTTTTTTGGACAAATTCCTTAAATTTCGGAAAGGAAAATTAGGTTAACTTTTCCTTTTATTAATTATTTTTGAAGTTTGTGCAGCTAAAATTAGAAAAAAAGAAAAATCTTTAGAAGTTGTCCTGAAATAATAACAATTGACTCATCTTAGAAATATCCTTTGGTAGGAAAAATAGCGACCGAAGATTTTAGATTTTGGTTACACCGGCCACGTTCATTTTACCGATTCGAGTTTTGTTACAGTAAAAAACGTTCAGAAACAGTCACATTTAACCATTTTACTATAGTAAAAAACTCTCACATAAAGTCACATCTTAACTCGAATTAAAAACGCCAATCAACAAACTAAACATGCCCATTATTTATACACACCGTGACAAATCATACATTATATAGAAGTAATAGAATCATAACAAACCATATAGTTGAAAGACAAGAAAAAACACACACACATATCAATTAATTAATCAAAGTGAAGTGAAATGAAAACAACTCCAATATACATCCATCCATCTATTATTATCTAAAGATTCTAAACAAATGGATTGGGCTTTAAAGATAAAAGCTCATTTGTTTCCAAAGTAATAAAAAACATAGAGAACACACAGTGAGAAGCATTTAACTCAATAACTTGATCATCTCGGAAGGCTGTTTGGAGGGAAGTTGCGTAATGGATTCTCTCTCAACAACTCCGTTTCCCTGCTCGATCAATACAAATTGTTAACGCTAATAATTCCATTAATACCAAAATTATTAACCCAAAATTATGAAGCAGCAACAACTTACTTTTTAAGGTCTCGGTCATCGCTCTGTCTAAGCTGCAAATTCAAAGACTTGCCACTCTCAACACGCGCTTTATGTATCCTAGTAAGGCCAAGAACAACGACAATAAGATAACAAGTTAATAACCAATTGCTTGCAGATATATTATGCTAATAACATGATCTGGTGCATTTTGAACAAGCGACCCATGTCAATTTTCACAAAGAAAGATGACTCACTCTTCACATTCTTCATCAACAAAAACCTCGATACAGGCACTAGATCCTCCGGTTGTCGATCTTGGTCTTTGTGGAACCTGAGAAAACAAAGTTAAATGCCCTTTTGAGAAACAATGCAAGGGTTTAAATCATGTTGGAATAAATCGCGCATGAGTAGGTTAGAGGAAACCTTGTATGCTTTCCACTTGGTAGGCATAGCATTGTTTTCTTTGTTTCTCTCCGCTCGAGATCCAAGAGCGTGCCAAGAATGCACGTCCATTTTTAACATATCCGGCTGGTGATGCGAGGTGGTATCAAGAACACCTGCGTCTTTATATATGTTGAACGAAGCAGCATGACCCCTACTAAAAATAATATTCATATATGAAAATACATTTCCTTGCATCTAATGCTGTTTCACTAGCTGGAAAATAACCAATCAAAACGACGTCATATCTCACCTGTCTTGCTTTGAGTTTCTACTTGAGAGCTCAGAGTTGTTCATGGTGTCCCGCATTCCTGGAAGGAGAGATAAGAGTTATGGAATGAAGATACATAAAAAAAGGAAAAAAAACAAAACAATGGAGACTTACGGTTTTCTCCTCTGGGTAGGACAGTTCCAAAGCTTCGGAGTGGTAAGCGTTTCTCCATTGAGTCCTAAAAATTTGGGGGGAAAGTTTTCGTTTAGTAGTTTTACAGGAAACAATAAAATTAACCCTTTCACTAAATAATATCCATACATCATGATTAGCTTTTGGTCTTCTCATTAAACGTCCAAGAAATTTCCTATAAGCATCCGTCAATGAATCAACCGGTTGAGCGTTCCTATAAAAATGTACATATCAAAGGTAATATCTTCAATATCAAAATAAGCCAAATACAAAAGGTAAATATCTCTCGTGCCAGGGTGGGTTATTTTCCTCAGATGTATTCAATTTTGGTCTGTTTCAATATCGTATTAGTAAAGTCCTTATATGCTACTTTTAATACAGTCCAATGGTCAAAATTATATTGTGAGCAATACAACACAATAATTAAAGTCTTATTATTTCTGTGCTTAGTGCTTACCGTAAAATCATAATATTCCAATATATTAGCAAACTTGGATTTTGTGGCAATATCATATGCACAGCTTTTTGGGGTGTGTATGTGTACGCGCGCGCATGTGTATTGGGGGAAGAAAGAAAAGAATGCATAATAGCCAATAGCAGTAACCATTTCATCATTTTATCTAACAATTTTATTTTATTTTCATTATATATGAATTCAGTTTGAGAATGAGTTCATCTATGTAATTTTCAATTTTGGTCATGATCGACTTTGTACTCCTACCTTTTTCAATACAACAGTGGTTAAAATACTAGTAATACAACATGACGATTAAATTAGTTCTATATTGCTTATAAATTACAATCCTTACAGCAGAAATGTAAAATATCTTTAGCAAAATTTCACAGAAGAAATATGTAATAATATCTTAGAAAAATTGGGATCACTTAACTGGTAAACAATTTCATATAATATGCATTATGCACAGGCATTTTATGGGAAAAAGAAAGAAAGAAAGACAGTATATTCATTAAAATACCAGCCATTCATCATTCTACACGGAAATAAGCTTACCTAGATATCCCAAGATTAAATGTTTCGTTTGCAGCTTTAACTTTGTTCTTTGATTCCAGGTGCAAGGAATATGATATGTAGTACATGGAATGAGTCTTTCCAATTTCGTTTGCTTCGAGAAAAGTGTATATGATTTCAGCATCAACACAGTTTTCAGCCTGCCAACAAGTTTTAGCATTAAAGACAATAAAACTTCGACTAAAATAAGAACCAGAATACTAAAAGAAGATTGAGATGAAAAAGAAAAGGACATTACATATTCCAACCACACTTTGAGGTAGCGGAGATCATCCTTGTAGCGGTCTGAATGCCAAAAAGTTCGCACACATTGTTCATAAATCACAACCAGTCCTGAAGAATCTCCACCAGATGGAAATGCTTCTTGAACCCACTTAATGCACCTTCAAAGTTCAATCCAAATTAAAGCAAAAAAACATTGGTGGGATAGCTCCAGTTGAAACTTTATCATGCATGGCCTAAAGACAATTATGCTTCTTTAGACGAGAAACTATTCATTGAGCTTTATATTATGGTGCACCACCCATTCAATAGTTCACGTGAACAATCAATCATCTTCCTCTTTCCTAAAGTGTTTTACTTAATTGCTTTAGTCTCGATAATTCTACTGTAGTTGATATGGACAAATTAATTTGGATAGCAACCTAAACGGATTAAGGTTTTGAAGATGCAAATTTTGAGAAACTACAGAGACGAAAGGTGTAGCAAATGAAGTTTTAGCAGATAATTAGATGTGAAATTCTAACTGCGGAACACGATGGCCACATATTGAAAGCTAATTGCACAGGTTGCAGTGGCATAATTGCTAATAAAACATAACTATAAAAGTGAAATTAAAACAAACAAAAAAATTAGTGGGATTAACAAGGAGGATTAACAATATTATAGATAACCGAAACAAATTAGGGTTTCCAAAACACAAATTTTGAGAAACTCCAGAAAAGAAAGACATTGCAAATGAACCAACTGTAGAAAGCTTATTAAAGTAGTAAGAAACAGAAATATGAAATTAGGGCAATAATTTAATAAACAAAGACAGAGAGTTAGTACTCACTGGAGCCATGGCTGAAGCGGATCATCTCCGTCATACTCATCTATGGCTTCAATCAACTTCCTGAGATTAAGAAAACCCGAAACAATCGAACCATTAAGAGAGACGAAAGAAAGAAATGAAGAAGAAGAAGAAGAAGAAGAAGAAAGGTTGACCTTCGGTGTTCGAAAAGGGACTTCTTGAGAAGATGATGGTTGTGAAAATTGAGAGCGTCATTCAAGATGGAAACTTTGCGGCCTCTTTTCAAAGGCCTGACGTTCTCCTTATAAAGCTCCCACTCGTTCCCAGTCTCTCGCTTCGACAGAAGAAACTCCGTCTCCGGGTCCAACAATACTTCATTCTCTTCAATCTTCTCCATTACTCCTCCTTCAATTCAATTCTTCTGCAACCAAACCCTAATCAGTAATCAGTCAACAATTGCTCTTTTTCCAGAATTTCCCCAATTTCAAATCAGAGGGAGGCTCTCCTCTGTCAAAGTTACCGTTATACGCTTTTATATTATTGTTGCCTTACCGGTGGGACCTGAAATTTGAAATCAGAACTGCTGGCTCTTTAAGTTTATTTTGGGCCCATTAAATGTCTAAAGAGCCCTTGAACCAATTTAAAAGCCCAGTGGGTATCGATGATAATTCAGTTTTTTTTTTTTTTTTTTTTTTTTTTTCTGGTAGAGTTGAACTTCTCCAACGGCAAATGAAGGAGCTCCACTCCATCTACAGCATCTTCAATGGCGATGGCGATTATTCAACCACACTGTGTTCGTTTTCGTCTTCCTTATTCTTATTCTTCTTCTTCATCTTCTTTTGTCGGAAGCCTCCCAATCATCCCCGACCTCAAGCCTCCAAAGCATCCGACCAACACCACCACATATTCCTCCTCTCTCTGCAAAGCTTCCTGGCAAGAGGTGCGTTTCCTAGGCTAAGCTTTCAACACCTTCGTTACTCTCTCTCCGACCTTTCTACTTCTCAAAAACTTTATCTTTTGAGTTTTTTTTTTTTCTCGTTCCAATTTGCGTGTAGCTCGCCGGAGTGTTGGTCTTCTCAGCGATTCCGTTCACCGCCGTGAAAGCCTTAGCTAATAGCCCGCTTGGAGAGTCACTTCAGAGGCGCCTGGAGGAGAGGAAGAAATTCGCAGTCGAGAATGCTTCCAAGTTTAAGGCTTTGGCCGAGAAGGCCAGAAAAGATAGGTAATTTCGCTCATTTTTAATCGAGCGCTAATAGCGTTGTTTGGACAATTTTGATTATTCTCTGACGTGTTAACTCGGTTAGGATTGCAAATTAGCAGAATATAAGTGATTACTTGAGGTGATTAGTTCGTAATCAAGTTGTATGCACAAGTATGTTAGGAAGTTGTTGGTCGTAAAGAATGCTTTGTATTTACAAGTGTTGTAATCATCCCTAAAAAAAGGAATTCAAACAAGATAATGCGATTTACAATTTATGCTTAAAACGTGAACAGCTAAAATTAATAAAATTAACAAAAGAATGCCGCTGAATATTGACCCCTTTAAACATAAATGTTATCCACCTAGTGACAAAATTAATTGTTTGCGAAGATTTGCTGAGGTCCTTGTTTGAGGCAGATGTTATGAACACAAATGTAAATTGCCTTTTAACTTATCCATTTTTTGTTTATTTTGCATCTCCTTAATTTCAGCGTTTGGTATGGAGAAGAGCG